TCTCCCCTTCTCTCCCTCTCCCCTTCTCTCCCTCTCCCCTTCTCTCCCTCTCCCCTTCTCTCCCTCTCCCCTTCTCTCCCTCTCCCCTTCTCTCCCCACTGATGCTTGCTGCTCCACCAAGCTAGAGGTAGCCGCTATCTTCCAGTTGTGCATTGAAGTTAGTTAGGAGCATGCCAGCATCTCCTTTGCCACAATATTTTTTCCTTTTTTGGAGAGAAGGAGCCAGTTTTGAAACCAAGCAAGAAACTGCCCAGTCTAGACAGAATTGGCCTATAAACTACTAGATATTAGTTTAAACATTTATAAATTTATATGAATGAAAGCAATGGGGCAAACATTAAGGAACTCAAGAAACAAAAGATAGGAAGTTGGTTTTGTGGTATAGACCAGATCTAGAACCAGAGATGGGATCAAAGGTCAAAAAAATAAATAAATAAATTAAATAAATTTTAAGATGACTACATGGTTAAGATTTACCTATCTTTTGCTGATGGTTTTGGATCATTTAATGTTGCACAGTATTTGTGAAAAACTTCTTGAAGAATAGCTATGTTTCTTCCTTTTTCCCCTCACCTGGCAGATATTTACTGCCTTAACAGTATTCAGTACGCTTGCCTTGCCTAAAGATATTTGGCAGATGTAAGGTAGGGAAGAAAATGAGAAATAATTGGACAAGAGTACTATTTGCAGACCTAGCCACATATTTCACTGAAGTCCTTCTAATAAATAAGTAAAGATACATAAGAGATGCTTACTGTATACTCAGAAACTTACTGTAAACTCAGAAGTTTTCGTATCCATCCCTCCCTTCACTTGCTCTCTTACATGTTTCTGAGAATTATCTGCTCACGCACACATACAAATATAGGCACTGAAGAACTTCTTAGTTTTTACTTTTTGTATGATTTACCCATCTTGCATTATGGTTAACTTGAAAACAAAGAAGGCTTTGGATGTAATAATCTCTGTTACAAATCTCTAAAATTTCAAATCCTTAAAACTCAAAATTGTTAAAGCAAAATACACTTTTGTTTCAGCCATGGGCTTATATCTTCCTAGACTATTCTATATATGGAAGTTTCTGCAATTGTGACAGAGGTGCAAATACTTAATTTCAAACCAAAATGACTGCATTTTTTTTTCCACATTGGTTAATGACATTACAGAATATTCAAGGTCTCCTGTTAATATATCAGATATAGCTTACAAATTATTTTTAATATATTTTATTTCATCTAAATTAAACTTGCAATCACTAGAATATTTATAAGAGGAACTGAAGGTATGAATCCAACAGCCTAAGGAAGCGCCTTTTTTCTTTTGGTTCAGAGGAGAAACTAATGGTCTTTCAAAATTCATAGATAACTATATTACCAGACTTTCCAAAGGATAACAGCTAGAGAAAACAAACTCCTCTAATTATTGTGTAATCCTTGACACTACATCTTCACACCATATGTAGAAGAAAAATGAAAGAGAACAGAAACACTTTAGTAGTTATACCTGTACGTAAATATAAATCAGTTTGCTTTAAAATTAGGTTTATTTTTTCCAGGTAGTAGTGATACATGGTCAACTCTGCACTTTTTTTAGCAGATTAGCCCAGACTGTTGCTCAGTGAAAAAGACAAGGCTTTTGAGAAACTACATTCAACCTTTGACTTCTCAGCATCATCCTCATGACTGATGAAGAAAAATTCAGATTCCATAGAAATCATTAAATCAATCAGCTAATGACTTCTCTCCACAGCAAAAAATGTTTATGCCAATTGGGGAAAAAAAAAAAAAAAAAAAAAAAAGGAGAGAGAGAGAGAGAGAGAGAGAGAGAGAGAGAGAGAGAGAGAGAGAGAGAGAGAGAATGAAACTTCATTCTGGAAACGGAGAAATTTAAAAGTATAAGCTCCGTTTTTATTGCTCAAAATGAAAATGAATGACAGAAAACACTTTAAGTTACAGAATTACATTCTAATACAACTACTGTAGTAGTTTCTAGTAGTAGTACTTTGTATTTTCTACACTCCTCTGTTACTTCTGTTACATCAGTTTTTGTCATTCAGCCTTTAAAATTCAGTATGAATAAAATGTCGTGTTTCATTTTTTTCACTCCACAGTACAAACCTAATTTTTGAATGTTGACAATTTGTTTGGAATTAAGATAAGTAATTAGCTACATTAGGATGTACCATAATGCACTGTAATAGGAAACAATACAATACAGAACAGTAGACTAAGCCTGCACTGATAGGAGCAAGGCAACCAGTCTTACACTTTCTTCTGAATCTTAAATCATAGACAAGTAAAATAGAAATATCTTTATGATATTAAGTGAAAGACAACTTGTTATTAGTAATGTTACTGTATGACAGCACAATATCATAACTATACAGATGCATTTCCTTCATATAAACTTTATGATTGAAATGATTCATTAACAAATCACGGTCAAACATTCTAGGAGCTTCAAAACCAATAAATACCAAAGATTTGGCGAGCAGTATTGCTAAATGTTAGTTTAACTGTGTCCGTAAAGTGGATGCACCTTTATTTTATGCATTTCTAATGCTTTGATTTTTTTTTGTCCAAGAACTATAAAGAAACCTTTTGTGTAATCAGGTTTTAAATAATGTAAACTCTCCATAAGGAAATAATAGAGTTCTGTTTAACTACTATTAGGTTCATATCAAGAATTTTTAAAAAAATTCTATCCTGAAATATGTGGAAAAGAAAGCTCAGTAAAAGAATCTGCTACTTCCTTTAATACATCTGTCTCTTAAATAAAGAGAATGTGTTTTTTGTTTATTTGCTTTTTTCCTCAGAGGTTCTCACAGAAATTAAAAATCTGACAAGCTGGAGCATGTTTTACTCTGGAATACCTGTGCTACCTTGAAATGAGAAAAAGTTCACATATTTCATTAACCATATCAAAACTTACCTCCACCATTTTTCTGACACAGATAAGGGAATCGCCACACATTCCCCAATCCCACAGAAAATCCAACTTGTGCCAGAATATACTGGAGTTTGCTGTTCCAAGCTGGTCTTTCATCTTCTACATCTGAGCCTTCCTCAACATCTACATCTTTTTCCTCCTGATCATCAACCATAAGTTCACTCTTCTTAAATGCCTCATCTGAGGAGTCTTCATTTGAAAGGAGGTCTTTAACTGATTCAATGACCTCATCGTCTAGGTCTCTTTTGACTACCTTGCTGTTCTTAGGCATTTGTAATATGTGAAAAATGACACAGAGGTCAAGTTTAGTTCAGTGTTGAAGAAAGCTCTCCTTCTCCCTAGCCAAAAGTGCTAGGCTCCAGCCAATGAGGCTGGAGATGGTGCTTGATGAGTTCGTGATATCAGAGAATCACAAATAAGCACTTCTGTTTTTAAACAATTGTTCTACTGAAAATACCTGTGGAAGGGAAAAAAAAAAAGAAAAAAGATGTTAAAGTATACAGAAAAAAACATAATTTAGAAATCACATGTCTTATTTTACCCATTTCTCTATGCCCTATGCTTTGACAGGAAGGGAAAAAGAGACAGGAATGCTGGCAGTTTGAGTAGGTTATCACTTTAAACATTTAACTTACAATTTCAAATTACAGAAATTAAGTCCACTTTCGTGGTCTTAAATATACATGTAAATTGCACTTCATTTCCTTTTCCTGAAGACCAATTCTTTATATTTTAATTCGGCAGCAACAGAAGATTCCTTTTAGCAGGCAAGTGTTTTACATAAAATTTAGAAGACCAATTCAACTTTTTCTGACTTAACAGCTGTGCTTGTGTTAAAAGACTTGAAACAGAGTAGCTTATGTTTTTTAGGCCATTTCCTGGAACTCATACAGCAATTAAGGTTTGAATGTGTAGGATGCATATTAGTGCTTCAAAAGCAAGGGAGACTTAGTGTCCTGTATTCATCAAGGAATATACAGTCAGAATCATATTTTCAAAGGCAAGATGCTCATTTTTATTATGAGCTTTGATGCTTTCAATGGTTTCTTAGAAATCGGGAATAATTAAACACATCTAAAACATCTGAGAAGCTGCAACCAAATCCATTTATTTTTTTGTTTTCAAACATGTATGTACAGACATAAAAAAAGCCTAAATTTAAATATATGCTTTTAAATTTTAAATTTAATTTTATTTTTTTTTAAATAAATATACACTTTTCTTTAAATAATGACTCACTCAAAGGGCAGTCAGGCTTGCCTGCAGCTGCCATATTGAAGGTAACTGAAAGATTTTTTTGAGGAATATTTTTCAAGGAATTCTCCACTATTTACTGAAGCTGAAATGTGCAAAGCCATCTGCACGATTAAGAGTCTTAAAAGGGATTTAGATTATATGTTAAGCTTCAAGAAAACCCTACAAAGAAAATGCACTTACACAAGAAATTTAATCAAGAACTCCTAACAGACAAGAATCAGAAATTACTAAAGGATACTTGAACATTTTCAGCTTTTAATTACAGAGCTGATGCAACGTCTCAAACACAGGATGAACACTGTATCACACTCTGCCAAAGGCACACACAGCAGAGAACTGGAAGGTATTACTGGAATGCTAGAGAGTGCCCGAGAGATCAAGCCTCTTGATCCCAAGCCTACTTCTCAGGGCCCAGTGACAGATCACAAGGAAAGAAGTTAAGTCTCTGGAACACAGCCCACAGCTTATCAAGGAGAGAATTTGCAGACACAGAATTAAAACCTCTGTCAGCCTAAGCATTATCACCAGTCTTGTGTCTGAGGAGGCAATTACCTTCCCAACAGTGTTCAAGAACTTTGCACTCTAGTTGCCTACTCAACTCATTTCTAACCTCTTTTCATTCATTCCTTCCACTCATGCAGCTTCCTTCTCACTTTCCCTCTCCCTAGTGTTACAATCTCCCTCCTGTTACTGTCTTCTCTCACTAATTCCAACTCTGGCACTCCGCCCAATTCTTCAAGCACAGGAGAGCTTCCCGGCTTCTGATCTGTCTGCTTAGAAGCTCGCTGTGGATGCTGGCAGGTCCCAGGGTCCTACACACCTTCCTTCTAATGTGGTGAAACTCAAATCTGTGTTGACTGACACCAACTCTTTATTATAATAATTTGTCTAATGAACAGTGGGACACAAGAGAGATGATGAGTTCCCACAGTGATCGGGAGAGTAAGTTGTTAAGTAACACGAAAATTTCAGTTCGTTATTCTGTATTTCTGGGCTAAATAGATGGTCTTGCAGACCTCTCTATTTTGTCCTTTAGGTCGTACATACTTTAAAAGACTATATCCTATTCTAGTCAATGTACAAGACTGTAGTTTTTAATTGTTACTAGGATATTTAGGTACTGCAGCATAGAAACAGCAATAATACATGTCATCAAAACATTTAAGGACTTCTAAGGAATATATGGAACTATAAACCAGAGCATCTAGTATTTCAACTACTACTTTAGGTCACACTACAAACCTCTCTTTCTTACACTGATGTAAAATACAGCAGCTCCTCAGTTTCAGTAATTGTTAATACATACAGGGAGTATGAAGTCAGAATTGTACAATTTTCTCTATATACTTGACAGAACAGTTGCAGAAATTAATCCAGACCAGCTTTTGTCTACACTCTAAAGTGCTTTTCTGACTTTAATAAACAAAAAGTATTTTCAGTCTAAAAGGCATATGCCATGTATCTGTATTTATGAAAATGTCTGAAAGGGGCATATCCATATTAATGAGGTATTTTAGATATAATAACCTGCAAGGCAGCAAATCTGAAGCAAACAGAGATGAGTCAATACCAGCAGAAATTGCATCATACTATCTGCATCCTCATGCATTGAACACTTCATTTCTACACTCTGGACTAAACTGGGCTTGGTACTTTTATTTCTAGCACAGTATCATATTGATTTCCTTTTCATTAACTGCTCATTCAGCAGTATGGTATTTAATAGTGACAACACTGTATATGTTTGCAATATTCGCAGGTCTTGAGAAAATGTGGGAGACATTCAGCAAATTTAAGTGATCGTATTTGATTCTACCAGTACTGGTCTCCTAATTCTAAAGGAATCACTGCCTATATTGCATCAAATATTATGCATCTTAAGTCTTTTAGGATGCATTGCAAATCTCATCACAGTCTCTGACTGACCAGTTTAACAAATTGTTCTCTGCAGTAGGTAGAAGAAACCTACCTTATGCAAGGAATCTGCAGTTTTGTTTTAGGCATTCCTAGAAGGAGCTTTAAGAGTCTTGCACAGAAGAAAAGGAAGAGGAGAGAGGACAGAAGGGGGGGGGAGGGGCGGGCAGGGGAACACCTTTTTCTTTGACCCAAATCAAAACAGATAGAAGGCAAGCACCAAACTACTCAGACTGTGCTAGTTCGACAGGTGACTCAACAAGCAGTTAGGCTAAATAGGCATCACTAAACATGCCTTTTTTTTTTTTTTTTGGGTATCCTACTACTGAACTTTCCTCATCAATAAAGATAGCTATCAATAAAATGCTATTTCAGATTCCCAAATCATTTGGATCTAGTCCAGTAGGTAAGTTTTTCATCACCAAATCGTAAGCAGAAAATATCATACCAAATACTGTTGAGGTACCAGGTCCATGGCTAGTTACCTTCTACAGAGCAGTAATAATATAGCACTAGGTAATAGGATTGGTCTAAGGATTATGGACAAATCCATGTGACCACTAATGAACTACAGAATTACATATAACTAGGGATTCAGCCACCACTATGATCATATCAAACTTTATGTCCTAAATCTAGTTATATATGCTAAAATACAACTGTTCTATACTATTACTAGCATCTTGGATGAATATTAAAATGTCTAAAATATAACTTGGCCTTATTAAAGCCTTTTTTTTTTTTTTTTTTTTTTGCTCTGTTTGATCTGATCACTGTATTACAGGAACTGATTTAATTCTGGTTTCTAGGCTGATTTACTCATCCTCTTCATGACTTAACTGAGGTAATATGTCAGATGAAAATATTGATGGGACATTTTAATTATCATGTTTACAAGGAATATAATTTTTTCTGGACTTTTCCACAACCAAAAGCAATAAACAAAGACACCTTCCCTTTCCTTATGTAACTGACCTGTCTTTTTTTATTGTTTGAGAGAAATTAATAAAACAGAAATTGCTAAACAATAGTACGTGGTTCAGTTAGAAGAATATTTAGAAAAAAAAGTATTTCTTTTACTTCTTGGTATTTCTTTCTGGAAAGTTGTGAGTCTTTCTTGACCTGTCAGGCAAATTGCAGATTTAAACTTTCTGAGAAGATGGTGAGAATTTTGTTTTCTCCTGTGCAAATCTTAATGTGTCAGCATTCATAAGGAAAGCAACTTTGCTTAGACTGCCACATTATTAACAGCTTAAGAAATAATAATCCCTTGCAATGGGGAACTCAAACCTGAATTAGCTCCACAGGAGATCTGGCCTTACCAGAGAGCTTTTATTTCAGGTTCAGGCACAAATTCAGAAAGGCTGGCACAGGGAGATAAAAACTGTAGTTCAGCAAGTCTTTTTTTTTTTTTTTTTGGGGGGGGGGGGGGGGAGGGGCATATCCTTTTCTTATAACCTTTCTCACATCTACTCTCTAGTAAGAGTTTTAACAGCTCTGTTCAGGAGTGTCTGATCCCATTCACACTGGTAATGAATTGGACTCTTCTTTGAGGCTTACCTATCAGGGGCCATCAGATCTATCTGCCAACATATAGACACTAGAGCAAAATGTAAGGTTTTCAACTGTGCAGTATCAACAATTAAAACTGAAGGTGCTTTAGATCGGTACGATCTGCATGTACAATACACTCTACACGTGTAATACAAACAAAAATATCTCACAAATTTGAAAGCAGAATGAGTACAACTGCTCATGTTGTAGTTACAGCAAGAGACTATATAAAAACCATTAGTAATCACTAAGCATGAGTTACTAATTTTTACATTTAAAATAACCTACAATACTACAGTAGCAACTGATACAACTAAGTATTGAAGAACTTTATCAATGTTACAAATTAAGAGTATATTTACATTACTGAATTTAAAAAGGAATACAATTCTCTGAAAAGAAACAGATTCAATAAGCTTGTCATGTTGCATTCTATCACAGTGTATTTCTTTCCTTTATCATCTTATTTTTTTTACACTTGATCAAAACAAGAAAATTCCACAAAATTCTTACACTCAGATTTTAATGAATGGCAAATAATGCTCATATCTTATTTTACTAGAAATGGTTTCTACCTCAAGTTGGTAAACAGAGAAAAAAAATACTCTATGAAGAATGTTTAAGAGAGCCCAAACAGAAAAGAACCTCCAATTTTCCAGATATTTAGATATGCCACAACATCACGAAAACAGGAAAAAGAGAGGAAAGAGAAAAAAAAATAAAAATAAAATAAGGGAAAGAATATGGGTACCTTTTTAAGTTCAACCTCTGCCCTTAAAAGGAGCTAAAGATTAACAGTCTTCCGTTCTTCAGAGCTCAGTGTTCTCCTCTGAGGAAGCACTCAACATACCAACATGTTACCCTGGGGGTGGCAGAACACAATATTAAGCTGCAAAGAGTTCACATTACAGCAATCTCTGCTTTGAAGACAAATCGCAACAGCACAGTCCAGTAGTGCAGTTCTTCAAGGTGCTTACTGTCTTACACTCTTATTCATAAAATTTCCACCTTGACTCCAAACAAACAAAACTCTATTACTCAGTAGAGCACACAGAACACAGTTAGGCTTTTCACCAAGACAGATGAACATAAAAGATCTTGACTAATGTTCACGTCAAAGGCTGTAGGCCATGTGAAACCATTGGATGAGAATCACACACAAGAGTAAAGGTGTGGAGCTTGGAGCTTCTGCACCCCGAAGAAAACCTGCAAAATTCACGTCAAAGAGTCTATTCTGGTATAGGAGCTCAACAGAAGAACGAAAGATGGAGGGAGGGAATAAGAAAAAATATGAAAAGGAAAGTAAAATTTTAGGCACAAAGGACTTGCTTTGAAGCTACAAAATGGAATCAGGCCATTGGTGCTGACAGGAAAGCACAGGAGACGTAAGGCCATTGTTTGGACTAAGAGAAAGACAACTGCAGAAGCAAATTGGGAATTGTGGTAGTACTGCAACTGAGAAGAATGGTGATAGCTGGTGGAACCTGCACACAGATAATTACTTCAGGAAGAGTTCCGCTGTGTTGCAGTACTGAGTTGAACAGACTTGGAATTATTGCTGCAATGCAGTAATGTGTTCTTTGGCGGGAACAAGAATATGCACCAGAGTTTTCTTGCCTAGCCAAGTCCATTTTCATCCATTTATGTATTGGGGTGGCCGCTAAGCTGCTCCTCAGCACAAACTGCATGATCCATCCCTAGACAGTCTCACTCATCCTGTTGGAAATAAATGCAGATTCAAGAGGTACCCAACTTGATCATGATGAAAGATAATTATTTCCTGTAAAAATTAACCTTGCATTTCTCTGTATTATTCAATTATGTTACCTAAGATATGCTAATTAACACATATACACTATATTAAAATCATAAAAAGTGACAGTCATTTGAGCAGGTGACTTCAAAATACTAGAAAACGTAAATATCTTTGATTCTGGCATCTCTATCTGTATCAGGTTTTTAGATCATAACAAAATTTAAATAGTTTTAGCACAAAACTAGATTAGCTAGGCACAAGAGCAGATTCAGGCTGATGCAATACAGGCATTTATATAAACTTCAGTGACACAGCATCTGTCTATACCTGGGAAATTTGCTCCCACTTCCTATAAAACGTTCTTCCCAACTTCCTCTTACATCAAAAATCTGCAGTCTCATTTTCTCTGTCATATTAGTCCCTCTGATTTCTAGCTACTGTTGAATACTTGCTACAGTTACAAGCCGAACATTAACATCCTCTCAGAAAAACACAATGTAAATAAAGATCAAACTAAATGGCTTTAAAAAAAATCACTGGCTGAACAGAGAGAATGTTACAACCTAGAGTTCTCAAGGGTTTCTCTCTCTCTCTCTCTCTCTCTCTCTCTCTCTCTCTCTCTCTCTCTCTTTTCCCCCTCCCTCATTGCATTGTAGTATCTGAAGACTTTACCGGCCTTTGAATATCTTCTCACCAATCTTTTATGGATTTCTCAATATTTTTTTTTCCTCACAGATCAGCTTTACTAAAATACATGAAATTTCAGTCCTTACTGAAATTTCCTACCAAGACATAGCAGTTACCACTTCCTCTGTGGTCTTTTCTTACAGCTTACTGTAGGACCAAGTTTAGCAGTTACCAGTCTTTCAGCTGAAGCTGCATGAGGTAGTACCAGCAGTTCAGAACACACTTGACTGTGGATTAGCCAGGTCCAAAAGCTAAAGCTGCTGGCAACATGAGGCAGCTCTCCCTTTTCTATTTAACCATGTCCGCTTTGCCATCACTGCGATTTTATCATAAGATCATATCACTCTTCTGGGATGGAAGAGGATATGAAAATATATTAAATATTTAATAGGAAAAACTGAGAAGCTATCTAAAACACAAAATTAAGAACTAAAAGCTAGGTATTACCAGTGATACAGTTCATATGGTTGCCCTTAGACCTTGGTTCTCTGCCCTTCATACATATGAACAGATCAAGAGAGAAAAAGAAAAAAAAAAGTGTCCTTGGGAAGAACTCATGTGATGATACCTGTATCTGTCTTTACATGTAACCAAAAAAATTCAATTAATCATAGACTAGCTAGGAGAAAATCTGCATATCCTCCATTTTATTATTTAACTTCATGATTAAAGTGATGCTTTCAAATTATGTTGCTCTAAAGTCCTAAAGCTTAACACAAAATGCAAAAATAATTTCACTTGACAGCTACTTAAGTCCATTTTCCCAAAGTGGCAAAAGGACTACCGGTATCCGACAGCAGATTCAAGGTCTTGAATCCTAACACATCCTTATACAACCTTTTCTTTCCTTTTTCATTTGACAGGAAGAAAAAAAAATAAATAAAAATCTAATCTTAGAGCAAAAAGTAAGATCCATATTTCAGTTTAGGCTTTTGAGAAGTTCAGGCCATTGCTGCCATTTCCTTAAGAATTGTTTTTTTCAAATGTTTGTCAATTTTGTGCACACAGCTCTTCGGAATACTAACGTTTTGTCACTGTGTGTCACATTTTTCCTCAATTATTTAAGAGCCCTTCCTGAGTAATGATAAGCTAACTTTTAATTAAAACTTCAGAGAAGAAGGGACTTGGTCAAGTTTCAGGATGACACCTGCTGAAATGTAAAAGTTACACAAACAATTGAGAATTCAGTGATCTTTAAAAATGTCACAATGAAAAGCTGCTATTGGTAAAATTCATGGGACAGCAGCATCTGACAAAAGATCAAAGCTAGAAAAAAAAGAGAAAAAAATGCAAAAAAAAGTTTAAATACTGAGATTTAGAGAGCTTATTTGAATTAAAATTTTGTTTTCTTAGTAAGATTATTTACATGAAATTAGACTCCAAATCAATTATTTTCATCTGATGACACTAAATCCCAGTATTTTATGTTTACCATTTTTTATGATTCATTCCTGTGTTGATTCACACAGTTTATGAACTAATGACCCAAAACTGTTCTTCCAAAGTTAATAGATATGTTGTCTTTTGGAGCAAGAACATTATTCCTCGAGTCAGTATGAGTCAGTGCCATGGCTAGCAGCTGGGGAAAGGGCTGGTTGCTTATATCCAAATAACCCACCTTTTTTCTTTCCTGATAAATCCAATATTAAAAAAAAAAAAAAAAAAAAAAAAAAAAAAGTGCACACAGGCTGCTGAAAGGTATAGCAAAGAAAAAGAGCTGACAGAGTTTTCAAATTATATGGTCCTCACCTATATGACTACTTTTTCATTTGCTTATCCATAAGAAAAAGAAACTGTAAGAATGACAAGGCACTGAAGGTCAACGTGAATAAGCTTATACTGCCAAAGTAGCTTTCACGTATTTAATTTCCGTATCACTGTCACATCTGAACTGCTATAAAATTGCTTGTTTTTTCATCCACAGATCATAATCAATGGGAGTTTTTTTTTTCTCGAGACTGAAGTGCAGAACTGAGCCCAAAGTGAGTGTTGTACATGGATGAAATTCAAAATTAGGCCTAAAAATGTTATCTTAATAGGCTGTAAGTACAAATCATAATCCTGTATATTATCCAAGTACAAAATTAGACATTCGTTACTGCAACAATTGTTTTTAAAGTTTCATTTTTAAAGGAGTATCAATAATGTTTACCTGGGAAATATACTAATAAATAAAAGATTTTAGGGCGTTGACACCATTTTTTATTGACTGGAAAGAACTATCGGCGGGATATTACACCCAGCACTCATGTGCACACTACCAGGAGGGGAAAAAAAAAAAAAAAAAANAAAAAAAAAAAAAAAAAAAAAAAAAAAAAAAAAAAAACACCTTTAGTTGTCTAAAGTATACTTTTCCTTAGAGGGTGAAGGAGTTGGAGAAATCTACATCCATATCCCTTAACAAATATGGTGACATATTCACAGTGACACACTGTTTAAGAAAATAATTAAGCTTGTCTCAGAAATCAATACCGTGACAGTGGGCTTGCTACGCAGCAAAAACCACAGAGAAAAAAATAAAATGGCTGATTAAAGATGAGGTCTTGAGTACAGCATCTTTTATAAATAAAACAGAGTGAGATTTACTGAAAGGGAGCAAATCCTTTTTCGTCCTCCCATTTAGCAGGTCAGTGTGACAGCATGGACATACTCCTACAGTCTCATTCACTTCCACAGGGAAATAAATAAATAAGATAGAGCAAAGAAATTCTCATTTCACTGCAGGATTTCCAGGTCATTCTAACACTGGCAAAACCTGATCAAGGGAAAAAAAAAAAACAAAAGACAGAAAAAAAAAAAAAGGTGGACAGTGGGCGCGGGTATTAAGCATTATTGAGGGAAGTGCAGGGGGCCCCGCAGGAGGGCGCGGGCTGGAGCCCCCGCCGCGGCACCGCGAGCGCTGCCACGCGCGGCTCGCACAAGCCCACGCCGGCAAGAGGTGCCCGTTAACGTTAACCTGCCCACCCAAACATGGCTGACACGGTGCCCCGGGGCCGGCGCCAGGGGATGCGGGACCGCGCTGCGGAACGCGGGAGCTCCCCGGGATGCCGGCGCCTCCCCGGCGCCCCGCGGCCGGGCCCACCCGCTCCCCGGCCGCCCCGGGGCCACCGCGGGCGACAGCCGCGGCCGCCGCCCCGCGGCTCCGCACGTACCTCCCGCCGGAGCCGCGTCCCCGCGGCGGGCGGCGGCACGCGGCAGGCCTCGCGCCCGCACGGCGGGCGCCACACACATATACATATACATATATATATACACATTATATACGCTTTGAGGCGGACGTTCCACGCGGAAGGGATGAATGCGGTTTCTTATCCCGCAGCTGGGCGAGCCCCGCAACGCGCAGCGCAGGGCGCGGGCGGCTCCTCCCGCCGGCGGCCCCGCTATTGTCTGGGGCGGCGGCCGCGGGGTCTGCGCCCGAGGACCCCGCTCCTCTCCCCTGCCGTCCTCCCCCCTTCCCGCGCCGCCGCCGGGAGCCCCTTCCCGCCCGCGGCTGCACCCAGGGCGGCCCCGCCGCCGCCGCTCACCTCAGCGCGGGCAGCGGGCGCTCGCGGGCCGGCACATGTGCGCCGCGCTCGCTGCGGCGGCGTTTAAAGACACATACGGGCGCGGAGGGGAGGGGAACGGCGGCGAGGGAGGGAGGGAGAGAAGGAGGGCGGCCGGCCGGGCCTCCCGGCGCAGGGCGGAGCGGCGCCCCCCGCCCGCCCCCGCCGCGGCGCCACGGAGGGAGGGAGGAAGGCCGCGGCCTAGCGGGGAGGCGAGGCCAGGGGGTTCCCCCAGACGACGCCCGGGTTTCCCTTTTCCCCCCAAAACAAAGCGCCAGAGTGGGAGGCAGGGCGGTGGGACCGGCGGGGGCTACCAGGCCCTGGCGAGGGGCCCTGGGGACCTGCCCTGAGGTGGAGGGGGTCAAGGGGAGGCTCCGGGTGGTGCTATGCCGGCCTTGACACTCCAACATCCACCCAAGGATGAAAGGGATTACCCCAGATTTGAGTTACCGCTTTAATTTGCCTCCGTTGCGTCTGCCCTGTGGCATTCTATCAGCATCTTTTTCTCGTTTGTGCCCTTCTTTTAGAAGGAAATTTATTCTTTTTGGATTTCGGCAAGGGAAGCTATAGTTGAGGCTAACAAGCCACTCAAAGACATGGTGGTCAGATGCACACAAAGCATATTCATGGTGCTGAAGATAGATAGTGTGGGCTGGATGAACAAAAGTTCTTTTTAATGCTCAGTCTGTGAGGAGTGGCTGCCATAGCTTTGGTCTTGGCACACGTGGAATAAAAATACACAACTTCCTCATGCCATGTGAATCAAGGGGTTGATTTTCTTTCAAAGATTGATAAAATTTAAGCTCGTCAGCCTGTTTAAGTTTTCCTGTGTATTTCAGAGAGCAATATTTTGCTGAGAAGGTGGGGATGCAAAACCTACACACATATTTTTGCCCTATCAAAAGTAATTTGTCACAATATTGTGTGTTTCTCATCATTGTTGCCAATATTCTTGAGTAATGATCTCCATAGGTCTTGTTGAAGTTGTTTGTAAGAACAGTTCTGAAAGCAATAGATTTTGCATCTGCTTAGGGAATATTTGAAAATCAGTAAGAGTGATTGGGACATCTAAACATGCGGAGTTCGTCTCATGTCTTGAGTTGTAGTTTGGGTTAGTTTCTGTGAACTGAGCTTCTATCTAGTAAGTACAAAGAAAACGTGGAATTTACTTTTTTTTCAATGCTAGATCATCAGTTATGTATTAATAAATTAGCCGATAAAGATAATGTTATCACAGGACTGTGTAGTTAACTGAGAGAGAAAAAGGTTATTTCTGGATGTTTTTGAACAGGTAATGATGAGTTTAGATCTGTAATCCTATCCCCAATAGTTTTATGCCACTGGTTTTGCTGTAAGGAAAATATAATTAAGTGTTTAATCTCCCCCAAGTATATAGTTGGATATTTACACTTTCCTGCAGCAATTACAATTCCTCAAATGCTGATATTGTAAAAAAAGCCTGTTTGGTAAGCACCTTGGTAAACATTAAATACCACAGTTTTACTCTTCTTTGGACTTTCTACAAACTAACAATATCGTTTCTGAATAGATGGATTTTTTTTTTTATTGCAGCTCTTGTAAATGAGGTATTTTTGCTCCAGTTCTTGTAATCTTTTTTTCTTAGATTTATTGGAACTATAAACAATCATTCTTAAATTTCACATTGATTCACTCTTCAAAGGGCAGATTTTTCCAGCTTCAGGACTGGAGAAGCAAAGGGATTTCTATTCTTTGCTTCTGTGTGAAAATAACAAAAATATGATACAAAACCAGCTTACTAAATCTTTCTCTCTTTTTTTTTTTTTTTTTTTTAACACAAGAAACCAATGTATTTGATGGACAAAAGGTTGCAATTATGTGTGTTGCAGGAGAGATTTATACCATTTTTATTCTGAGTTGTGAGCTCCTATGTATGAAGAGATTGCATCATTTGCTGGTCAGGCTGTTAATGTATCTGGGCGTGTGACTCAGGAGATTTGAGGACAGTTCAGTTAGAAGCAGAGTGGAAAGCAAGAAATGCCGACATGAATAACACTGTCTTGCAGCAAAGCTGAGAAGCTCCTGTACAAAATATCTATCAAAACTTTAGATGACAAGTTCACAAGTAGAGAAAATAAATGTGCATATTTAGAAGAAACCGTTTTAGGCATTTTTTGCCAATTTTATAAAATTGGCATTTATGTCAATTTTAGGCTTTGTTTTTCTCTTAAAACCTTTAATATCACCTCTGAGGCATTTCTATTTTAAATACACTTTTATGTAGTTTTGTTGGAAGTAAGCACTTAGGAAATAAGCCACTCACTTATTAAAAAGTACTTTCATGAATTTTCTAGCTGTTGAATAACTACAAATATGTTTAGTGTTCTGTTGTGTTCTTTAGAAGCCTCCTCTGCCCTAAACTGTTTCTATTCCTTATTTTGATAGTTTGATGCTAGTCAGCGAGATGATGGTTTATATTCCTTAGTTTGATGCTAGTCAAAAACAGATGAAAGTTAGGAATGAATTCTTGTTCTTCGAATGAAGTAGCCAAGCTGGTACCAAAGTATTCTGAATAAACAGGACTTACTGTACACCAATAAAATTGAATGGAAACAGTGAAAAGTAGTTATTGTTACTGAAGAAATTCATCTAATGTATGACCTTGCAAGACAGGACCGTTCCTGCGCAGGGCTTCTCTACGGTATCTGTTGCATAGTGCAGCAGATTGAGAATGACATCGCTTGTTGACAGGGCCTTTTGCACACACATATAGCTAATATTGCCAGGGTACAGACACCACTTTTTCCCACACTAGTTAACCGTGAAATCAAGTAATAAAGTATCTTCTGCCTTTTAAATCTGTCATTACTTTTAAAGGTATCTCTCTCAGTATTAGGTCAGCACTGAAGCTTAACTTGAACTATTGCAATTCAAAATACTGTGTATTATAGGCTGACTGACACTAGTAATTATAAGCTATTCTGGATACTTGGTCAGTCTTCCACAGCTATACTGTGAGGACTTAAATCTCCGTCAGGCTGCTGTTGCTGACGGGGGTCGGCAAGCCTCGTCCACTAGCTGGATTGACCTGGGGTTGTCCTCACCCCAGGGCCATAGAGCACAGACACCAGTAAGGGGGATGCAACAAAATGGCGTTTATTGTGTAGTTCAGTCTGCCTATATACTCCAGTTGCATGCGGAGACTCACCTACTGCCTAATCAGGAGGCTAATTTCTACTTCCTGCCTTGTATGGCATGGGGTTATCAGTAAACTGCATAAATTAATTATGCTCCTAACCTCCCGTGACATTGCGAGATCTTCCGAGAGCCATACCCTATGCTCTATGCCCTATGCTATACTACATCATCTACTTAGGCTAAGCTCTCTAACTTATTAAGCCCTAAAAAGCATAACAAACTCCCATAGACTGCTTTAAACTAATACTGTATTGCTATGTGTTTTAATCTGTGATCTGATACACAGTAGGTGTGCAGATGCTACAAACAAAACCCATAAGGAAGTGATGTTATTAATAGCAAATCTAAGTTTTGTACTTAACGCAGCAAATTGATTGTTCTAAGGATCGTATTCAGCCTGAAAATTGATGCTACATTGCTTTCAAGCTGTTTGAAATTGAACAAAAATTATGTTTAACTGTTAATAAGATTTGCCACTGCCTTGTTCTAGATAGCATGATTTGATAGCATGCTGTCAAAATAACACGTTCCAGAATTTTCCACCTTGCTTTGTCATTTACAATTTTTGGTTCAGGATTTAACTTGTCCAGTGCAAATTGACCTTCAAATTATTTTTCTTTTGTTCCCTTCTTTTCACTCTTCCAATCTTCCTCATTACTTGTCTGTATGTGCGCTCCAAGGTTGCCATTATAATACTACAGTACTGCTCAACTGCTAGTGAAATTCTAGTCTTGGACACTTAAATAGCTTTGAAAATTATTGAAACACATCCACATTATGGTGATCACATTATTGAATCAATAGGAACTGCTACCTGGAGGAGACTGAATAATCTTTGATTTGTCACCTGACTTGACTTATACTTCTAAAAATGAGAATACGTCAGACAGGATGATGTTCATTCTGACTCTAATGCTTCTCACCAGGGAAGGATCTGATGACATGAGCAAATTTCCTTGGACAAGCAAACAAGCTCAATAGTTGCATTTCTAAGCATTTCTACCAGATCTGCAAAGAGGATTGTAGACTTTGATATGGTTCTCTTACAAATGATGAGCTACAGAAAACATGTCAACAGATCGTGCTTAGGTGAAAAGTCACAGTGATTCCAAGCGCTGTTTAGGTAGAGAATAACATAAGTGATTTTCTAGAACTTGGACACTTTGGCAGGAACCTGGCCAGACTTTATTTTCACCTATTTGGAGATCAAACAACCAAAAAAAACCCCTATCGTGAATATTTCAAATCTGAAACAATGGCATCATATTGACTGAAAAAGAGAATATTAGATGATTAATCAAATGACATGCCCAGAGCACCATATGATTCCTTACAGATAAAACATGTCATTATCTTAAGTAAGCATCCAAACCAAACAGAAGACTCCTGTAAAGTCTTTGTAAAGAATATATGCAACTTTGAATTTTATTTTGGCATTTATATCTGACATAGATGATTATACTACTTGTGAAAATACGGAAAATCAAAAGATAATTCTGGAAATGGAGCCATTCTCCTACACATAGACAATGTAGAAAAATGCCACCCAAATTGTTTGATAACAGCAATAATATAAAGCTAACTAAGGAAGACACCTACTTTCTTGAAAGTATAATAATAGATATAATATCTACAATTTATGTTATGCTATACAAATAAAAATTTTAAAAGTTTTTAAAAAATAGTGTGGTTGAAAATAAGATTATGAATTAAGAAATCCCCTGGCAAATACACAGCAAGTAGAAAGATAAAACAGATGCTAAACATGGGCCAAAAGTGCAAAACACTTCAGGTTTTTAGACAAAGATAGAATATGAGTTCTGTA